GGGCAGCCCAGGCTCAAGGAGCTGCTGCTCCCCGGCCCTGGCAGCAGCCAGGGAAGGGTTTCCCCTTTTCCCCTGGACACGGCACTGGGATACCCCAAAAGCTCTGGCTCCCGCATTTCTCGGCGCTGCCTTTCCCTCTCCCGGCCCGGGGAGCAGACAAACAAGGCGGTGTCCCCCCTGCCAAGGGGAACGGGCCGTTCTGAAGCGCCTTATCCCACCCCTCGAGAGGGGCTGGTTCCTGGGCACCGCCCGGCTGAGAGCCAGCCCTGCCACCCCCAGTGCAGCTCCCACCAGCTCGGCACCGGGGACACACCGTGCCAGCAAAGCCACGGCCACCAAACCCCAGCCTGGCACCGGAGATTCACCTGCAGTGCCCCGTGCCAGCAAAGCCACGGCCACCAAACCCCAGCCTGGCATGCAGTCCCTCCCTGGGAAGGAGCCACTTCCCCAAGAGGCCACACAAGAATGACTGCGCAGCCCTCCCCAGGGACATCAGCCCCTCCAGGGTGGGGAACTCACTCCCTGCAATGTCCACACACCCCCACGGGTTAAACCCTCGGAATCTGATCACCCTGGGAAGTTTGGTTTGGTGGAGGAACATCSCAGCTGCTCCTGAGGGAGGGACGGAGCTCAGCCCAGCACACCCTGCAGCCCCCAGCACGGATTCACGGCTGGCCAGGGGTGAAGAGGTTCATGSGGACCCCCCAGCTCCTGGGCTGGCACAGCTGGAGCCTGGAATGGCCACGGTGACTCGAGAGAACGCAGCAAGGGAGCTCAATTAGTTCCAGTAGCATTGAGTTCTCCAGATCATGTGCCTCCACTCCACGCAGGAGCGGGCACAGCTCTCACCTCGCTTTGGATTTAACCAGTGCAGCTCTTGCTCGGAGTGTGGGATTGAGAGGAGGCACGGAGAGGCAGCTCCAAGCTGTGAAACCCTTTGGAACAGAAGAGGTTCATGGACTGAAGAAAATGCAAAAAAACCCCAGAATTGACCAACTCACCTGCATCAGCACCAGACCTGGAAAGGAGCTGGATGACACGATGGGGACAAGCAGGGGCAGTCTGGGGACAGGAGGGACAGCCTGGGGACAGGCAGGGGCAGACTGGGGACGGGCAGGGGCAGATTGGGGACAGGAGGGGCAGATTGGGGACAGAAGGGGCAGATTGGGGACAGGAGGGACAGACTGGGGACAGGCGGGGACAGCCGTGACACTGCAGTGCCCTCAGCCCCGGGGCCTGGAGGATCCATCCGGAGCGGGGACCGTTCCCGCTGGGAACCGTTAGGATCCCATTATCCAGGAGGTGCCCGGCCCGGGCCCACGGTGACACAGGAGGTCAGCATGAGGAAGGACCGGCCCCACGTGCCCGGGGSTGGCTCTGCCGGGAGATGTTGGAGCAGCGTTACCAAACTGCCGGGCCTGAGCGAGCTTTTCCCTTCTCTGCAGAGGAGCGRAGGGAAACACAGCCGRGGTGGGAGATGCAGRACCCAGCTCTGCYTCCCTTCCTGCTCCCAGCAGCTCCCTGACACCGGGAAACACGCTCTGCACCCCAGGAGCTGAGCAGAGCCCATCCAGGGGTGGGGAATTTGGCACAAGCTGCCCACGGGTGCCAGCTGAGCCTGGCTCTGGCACAAAGGCTGCTGGCATTTCCTCAAAGAGCCAGACACGGACGTGCTGGGACACAGCCACACGGTGTGGGGCAGGATCCCATCCTCCCCTGCACAGGTCATTCTTGTTCCCAGAGCCAGCCCGAGTCATGCAGCAGGGACCTGCCAGCGCTCCCTGGCACACRGAGCCATCCTGCCTTTGTGAGCTAACGCGGGGATAATGCCTTGGCACTGGCTGTGAAACGCTGCTGGGGAGCTGTGTGCGCGGCTGAACATGCCCTGGCACAGTGACCCGGGCAGTGACCTTGGCACAGCCCCTTTCATCTGTGCCCCCACGGCCTCGGAGCCCTGGGATGGCACAGGGACATCTGCTCTCACTTGAGGTGACAAACACCATCACCTCCAACCTGTGCCGATCCTGAAATTCAGCACTTGGAGCAAAGGATTCCAAATCCCAAACCCTCCTGGACTGAGCACCTGGATTTGTGGGTTTATCACAGTGGCTTTAACATTCCTTACCTCTTTTCATGCAAAAAAAAAGATTTGTCTTACCTGTGGTGGCAGAGTCAGAAGCGACAGAAGTAAAGAACTCACTGGGGCTGGTGGGGCATGGAAGGGACCCAGTGGGGCAGGAGCACCTTCCCAAACTGCTGCTCCTTGGGATAGCACAACCAGGCTGGAAAACACCGACCCGACCCCTGCAGTGCCCACCCGGACCCTCCCCAAGGGACTTTGGACATCAGCGTGGGTCACAGCACCGCCCTCCCCGCGCCGGGGGTTTCTTGTACCAGGAATTGTTCCAGGAGGGTAATTTTGAGGAGCTCAAGCGGATCAATGCCTGACTCATCCCCGCTGCAGCCCTGGCTGTGTTTGTGCCGTGTCTTAGCAGCGGCACAGCCCCGTCCCTCGCTGCGTCCCCGCCCTGGGAGCGCTGGTTCCCSTGGCTCGGGCTGGTTCCTCCGGTGCTCCTGCGGGCTGTGCCAGCGCTGTCGTGACCCCCGTGAGGACACGGCCCCCGTCGGGACATGCCTGTGTGCCACAGCCCCGCAGGCGTGTGTATTTTGACTCAGGGTTTCTCGGCCCGTCAGAAAGCGMCTCTTTCGCAATATCTGTGATTTTTTAAGCCTCTGGTGTGTTGAYGACAGTAACTCTACACCACCGAGAGCCGGTGACCGGAATGGCACAGGTGGTGTCTATGGGAACAATGCAGCAGGTGACCCCGGGTGACCGCAGAGCCAGGCGTTGTCACACCAGGACGTGCCACCCCCATTCCCAGCAGCTCTAAAGCCATCTCTGATGGAGGCTGGGGCAGTTTCCCTGCTGGGAGCTCACCACGGGGCCAGCACCCCACACTACACAGATCCTCTTACCTTCCAGCTGCTTTTTTGCCACAKTTTCAGCTCACAACTGGTTTTCCCTTCTGCTTTGCAGGACCCGGTCTCGGAGCGGCTCAACGGCAGAGGTAACCCCTGTGGGAGCTGTGGGAGAGATGAGTGGTGCCAGGCTGAGCCCGGCCACGCAGGGCCACGCTCCTCTGTGTTGCAGGTCCCTGCGCCAGACCCAAACCCTCCCGGGCGCCCGAGTCCTTSAAGCGCGTCGGGATCCTCGTCCTGGCCGTGGTGCTCACCCTCGCCTGCCTGGTGGCCATCGGGTTCCTGGGTACAGCTCCTGAATTCCTCTCTGCCTCTTTTGCCTGGCCAYGGCTCAGCAAACACAGAGCCAGCTCCATGCCAGCCCCCAGGAGCTGTGGCTGCGCTCTGAGCCCCCCTTTCCCCCCAGTGAAGATCTACCTGGACCACCACTACCTGCTGTGCAAGCAGCCCCTGAAGCTGGTGCCGCTGAAGCAGGTGTGTGACGGGCAGCTGGACTGTCTGCAGGGCGAGGACGAGGCCAACTGTCCCCAGTGGGTCCCCGCGGGGCCACCGGCCGGGGGTGAGTGCGGGACACCCCGGAGAGCTCAGAGGGGCTGGGCTGCTGCGGCCACCCCACGCCACAGCTGACTCTGTGTCTGCCTCCAGCCCGCRTTTCCAAAGACAGATCCATCCTGCAGGTGCTCAACAGCAACACCGGAGCCTGGTCCTGCGTGTGCCACGACCACTTCAGTGCGGCGCTGGCCAGAGCCGCCTGCCAGCAGATGGGATATGCCAGGTACCCACCCATCCCTGTACCCAAAAGCCCTGCTGGAACGGGGCTCTGCTCACCTGTGAAGAGCTCAGAGATCGCCATTGATGGGTTCAGTCCATCCCCAGCACGCAGAGCACGCTGTGAGCCCTCAGCAGCTGGCTTGGTGCCCTGGCAGTCTCCCCTGGCAGCACAGCACTGTGTCCTGCTCTGTCACTGCCCACAGCACCCTGCTCTGCTCCTGCTGTCCCTTCATCCCCCCTTCCTGCAGCCCTGACCTGCTTCTGCTCTCCCTCTATCCCCCCCTTCCTGCAGCCCTGCCCTCCCAGAGCAGCCCAGAGCCCCCTACCATGGGGATCCTACCATGGGGAGGGGGAGCCCTGCACTCCCCTTTTATAGCCCTGGAGAGCTCTTGGCTGGGGTGTGGATACAGCACCGCTGAGCTGAGGCCTTGCCATGGGGCCCCACGTCCCCTCCCTGTGTCCCCCTTGTGTCCTGCCTTGAGCTGGCAGCAGGTTTGGGGTGCTGCAGTCAAATACAGCTGGTTAAAGATGAGATTTGGGGAACCTGCTCCCTGGATTAAGGGAGAATGAGTTAAATTAAGGGTGCATTGAAAAGAAGATGGGTTGTGGTGTTTGAGCCACTGTAGAAGCCCAGACTGAKCCCAGGATGGTGTTTTCCAGGTCCAAAAAGTCCATATTGAGGCTTTGAGCACAGATCCCAAATGTCACAACAGCAGGGACGCCCCTGAGTTCTCCCAGAGCCATCTGCTCACCCCTCTGCATGGCAGGGAGCAATGTCCCCTCTTCCTTTGCTCCTGTCCCTGCTCCTGGGCTCAGTGTCCCGGCCTTCAGGGCTCTGACATCCCCACCGTGGCACCCCCATCCCAAAGAAACCCCTTTTCCCGTGGGGTCCAGGCTCCTGGGGCGCTGAGGCAGCAGTGCCTGTCCTTTCCCGCAGCTGAAGCCCTGTCCCCCCGTGTCTTCCAGCACCCCGACTTTCCAGGGGGTGGAGGYGGGCGCGGGGCAGCCGCTGCCTCCCCGCGAGGTCGTGCTGAGCAACCGGAGCCTGCAGGTGCTTGAGCCGGGCAGGTGAGTGGGGACCGAGTGGGGAGCGGTCACTGAGCCCCGTTCAGGAGCCTGCGGTGCCCACCAGAGCAGCCAAACCCATCCCTTTTCCTTCTTCTTCCAGGAAATGCCTCTCGGGGTTGGTTGTGTCGCTCTTTTGTTCCAGTAAGTACCGGAGGTGGCTGCACATTGCCGGCGCTGGGGTCTCGTCCTGCCCCAGGTCCCCGTGGGGATCGCGGCTCCATCCCAAACCCACCCCGCGGTGTTTGCACGAGGATTAATTACAGCTAACCTCGTTAAGCCTCCTGGCACAAACCTCCCAGAAATGAAACACCTAAGGGAGGCTTCCCCAGCTCCCTGCGTGGGTTTGCTTTTACTGGCGAATTACCCTGATTAAACTAATTATCCTGGGGGGGCTGGAGCGGGCAGGGGATGGCTGGACCCCTTCCAGCGAGCCTGGGGGTGAGGAGAGATGGCAACGCTCGAGGGTGAGGCAGCTTCCCCGGGAGCCTCCGTGTCCTCTGTCCCTCCCGTCGCAGCTCATTGTCCCCTCGCAGGCTGCGGGCAGAGCGTGAGGACCCCGCGGGTGCTGGGCGGGAGCCCGGCTGCCATCGAGGCGTGGCCCTGGCAGGTCAGTTTGCAGTACAGGAAGGAGCACATCTGCGGCGGCAGCATCATCGGCCCCGGCTGGGTCCTGACGGCCGCGCACTGCTTCAAGTGAGTGGGGATCCCGCCGGCATCGAGCAGTGCGCTGATTAAAAGCTCCGTAATTAGCGCTCCGTGCCCGTCCCCGCGCGGGGCGAGCGGTGACAGCGCTGTCTGTGCGCAGGAACAACCCCATCATCCAGAGCTGGCGCGTCAAGGCCGGCTCCGAGCTCCTGTCGGGCGCTGCCACCTTCGCCGTGGAGAAGGTGTTCCTGGCGGAGGTGACACCCGCGTCCCCCAAGGACAATGACATCGCCCTGGTGAAGCTGCGCTCGCCCGTGCACTACTCAGGTGAGGCTGGCGAAGCCCTCCTGGGGCCAGGAGCCCAGAGTGGCCCCGAAATGTGGGCTGGGAGGGCGATGCCCGGCGTGGCGGCACTCCGTGGGCACCGAGCCCTGGAGCAGGGAGGGGGTGCCCGGCCGGTGGCTGTCCCCAGCCAGCCCAGGCCCCTTCCCTGTGAGCACCCCCAGACATCTCTGCTCCAGACAGCACCAAACCCATCTGCCTGCCCTATTTCGACGAGGAGCTGGTGCCGGGCACGCCCCTGTGGGTGATCGGCTGGGGCTACACGGAGGAGCACGGTGAGTGGCACGGTGGCACGGGGACACGGGCAGAGCCCCCCAGCGCTGCTGGCAGCAGCAGAGGGGCCCGAGGGCTCTGTCCTCACCCCGGTCACTCTGAGAGACCCCTGTGTCCCACAGGGAAGCTGTCGGAGCGCCTGCAGCAGGCAGAGGTGCAGCTCGTGGACGAGCTGAGCTGCAACCTGGCCGCGTACCACGGCGATGTCACCGACAGGATGCTGTGTGCCGGGCTGCCCCAGGGCGGGGTGGACACCTGCCAGGTGGGCTGCGGGCTGGGAACGGGCTGGGAACGGGATAGGAGGGTTTGTACCCATCCGTGACACGGTTCCTTTGGGGAAGAGCTTTTTGGGAACGGCTGCTGTGGGCAACCAGCCGCTCTGCCGGGGCCACCCTGAGGGTCTGTCCTTCGCAGGGGGACAGCGGCGGGCCCCTCCTGTACTCGGGAGGGCACTGGCAGGTCGTGGGCATCGTCAGCTGGGGCCAGGGCTGCGGGACCCCCAGCACGCCCGGCGTCTACACCAGCGTCCGGGCATACCTCGACTGGATCTACGCCGTGCGCAGGGTCAGTCCGTCCTGCCCGAGGGCAGAGGCAGCTCCTTTCGGCTCAGCTGGCTCCTTAAAGGACACAGCTATTCGCCGCTTGGCTTTGGCTACTCATTGAAAGCTTCCAATTCCCTCTTTCCTCTCTTTCTCGCAGTCGGAGCTCTGAGACCTGCGGGAACAGGTCGCTCCTCTCCCCGAGCCTGCCTTGCCGTCCCTCTGCCCTTGCTCTGGCAGCAGCAGGGACACGGATCTCCAGCCAAGGAAGAGCAGAGGCTCCCAAACCCTCGCTGGCAGCTGTGATTTAGGGCGCCAGAGCCCAGCCAAGGAGGCAAAGGGTGACTCGAGTGACGGCCACTGATCCCGTGAAGGAATCTCAGCGGCTCACGCTCCCTTCCGGAGGAAGATTAATTTATTGCCCCGTGCTGACCCCGCTGTGGCAGGATGGCTCCTGGGGGGCCAAGCTGCTGTCAGCTCACTCCTGTTGTACAGAGAGAAATGATGTTTGTGTAGAGTGCCCCCCTGTTCCCATTAAAGGAAAGGATTTGTTTTTTCCTGTGGCCTCCCGCACCTTTGTCCCTCTTCCCATCGGGATTATTTTTCCCCAGTTCCCACCCAGACACCCGCAGCAATCCCAAACCACGGCAAGTTTCTCTAGTAAACGTAAACTTTATTTCATTCAAGGCAAAGCTAACTAAACCTCTAGAGTGCAAAGATGTGCTGTAAGTCATCACACAGCCCGGCGCACACACACACACCCTGTGCTTACACGCAGGCACCTCCCACACGGCTTTACCTGCCTGGACACACCTGTCCGCGGCAGTGTGCATTCCCGGGGGGGCTCTGTCCCTGAAACACCCCAAAAAATGTACAACACGACCGCTGCAGCCCCCCCCAAAGCCGCGGGGGCAGCAGGGACCCCGCTGGTGCCATCACAAACCCCCAGGGCAGCCCGCTCCCCCGGAACACCCGTGTGCACATGGAGTTGCGTTCCAAAAACTGCTGATGTGGGCTTTTCCCATCGAGCCAGAGGAGAAATCCATGCATAGTGCAGCATTGCATGTCCGGCGGGACGTGGAGCCGCCTCCACGCGCCGCCTAAAAAAGGCCAACAGGTTAGGACAGCTAAAAATAGTTCTTTAAAAAAACTCCCTTCCTCCCCTCTCTGTCCCCCCACGCGGGAGGGCTCCTCCAAGGGCGGGCCGGGGGTCTCTCGGGGTGGCTGGGAGGTCTCACTGGTGGCGGTGGCGTGGCACAACCCCTGGCACCAGAGCGCCTTCCACCCCAGGATGGTGGCAGAGCCATGCAGGGCACCTCACACCTCCGGAGAGGCACCTCAGTCACGGTCCCCAGCTCAGAGATGGGGACACTGAAGCACTGAGAGGTCAAGTGACCGGCCTGAGGGTGCCACTGACCCTCAGAGAAGGGAGCAGGGTCCCAACTGCCGCTTGCCTGTCTTTCTAGCAGCCAAGGGAACCTGCCCGGGGCCAGCTGCCTTGTCCCTTGTCCCCTGTCCCCTGTCCCCTGTCCTGAACATGTGGTCCTGCTTTGTTGGGTGCCCCTGAGCCCAGCCTGGGGTCCCCAGCCCTCTGTGCTCCAAAGAAGATAGCACCCAGCCTTTCCTTGCTCACCTTGGCCTCCCAATCCTCGCCCACCCCCCAGTCTGGCACCTCTGCCAGGGCACAAATCCCCCACAGCAACCCAAGGCTCAGCCATGAGTCCCCGATGGGGACAGGGGAGCTGCCTGTCCTGCAGCTTCATGCTCAGACACCCACAATGATGAGAAACAGAGAACAAATCCCAATTGACATCGACACCTCAGTATGGGCTCACTCCCTGCATGTCTCACATCCTCGTGAGTCCACTCACAAAGACCCCTCACCCTAAACACTTCACCGTCATGAGCCAAGGAAACCTCCCACCCACCCCGTGAGGTAGAGCAGTATTATTGCCCCCATTTTACAGATGGGGAAACTGAGGCATGGAGAGGCAGGGCAACTTGCCCAAGGTCGCCCAGCGGGCCGGTGGCACAGCCATGGCCCTGCTCCCCTCGCCAGGGCTCGGCTGTGCTCCCTCCCTGCGCGGCCACCACGCCACGGTGAAAGGGAAACGCAATTGGCTGCCTTCCCCTGGAATCTCATACAAAAATATCCACGTAACGAGTTCAGCCTTGGCACCAGCATCAAAAGCATCGCTGCTCCGAGCGCCGAGCTCCAGAGCGAGGGGAGGGGGCAGCACAAGCCAGGGAGCGCTCCCCGGATGGCTGCTGGGGGAAAAGCTCCCAGGGATGGCCCTGCTCGGGGACAAAGCCAGCGTGAAATGTGGCGCCTCACGCCATCACGGGCCAGCAGGGACACGGCAGCACCCTCAGCCCTGCCCTGGGAGGCACCGAGGCACAGCCAGGGGCCTCTCGCTGATTTGGTTCTCCGGTGTGCTTAACACAGCCCCGCTCCCCCCCGTGCCGCTCCATCTGCATGGAGAGCTCTGAGCATCCCCGCCCTGCTCCAGAAACCTTCTGGGTGAAGCAGAGAGCTCCTGCCACCTCAGCTCAGCACCGCCAGCTGCCGCCGTGCCACCCCAGAGCCACCCAGGTCCCCGGTGACCCTGGCACGGCGCCCACCCAGGACCCCCGACCCCCGCCCTGCCTGCCCGGCACCCTCTTGCCTGTGCTCAGAGCGGAGCCCGCGGCTCCCCCTGCCCCAGCAGCCTCCCAGTCCGAGTCCGCGAGAAGCTCCCAGTCCCCCCGGCAGCCGCAGCCTTCTCCGAGAAGCAGTGCAGGTTGCAGGCACGTGTGTAATAGAAACATGTCTCAAGCGTTGGCAGTTCGGAAAGAAAACAAAAGGGGAAGGCTGGTGCCCTGCCCGGGCTCCCGCGGCGGGGCGGGGCGGGCGAGGGGCGCCGCTGCTTCGTTCATGCCTTTGGTGGTGCTTTTTGTTCCGCCTTGGAGCCGGCCAGGCCGTTCTCGGTGTTGTCGTTCCCTGACGAGCTCACCAGACACTCTTTCCTGCATGGGACAGAGAGCGCACAGCCAGCTCACAGCCCTATCCCTGTCCCCACAGCCCTCACTGCCACCCCACAGCAGCCCCGCACTCACTTCCCGTCCTGCGTCTTCTTGATGATGAACAGGACCACCCTCTTGATGAGCATGAAGAGGATGAGGAGGCCGATGAGCCCCCCCACCACGCTCACGATGATGAGTGTCACAGTGTTGTCTGTCTCCACCACTGCGCGAGAGAAGGAGCTCAGGGGGCTCGGGAGGGGAGCGGGGAGCTCCCAGCCACACATCCCACCCCAAAAAGGGTGCCTTCAGGGGTGTCACCCACCACATTCATGAGCCAAAGAGGCTGTGACTGCGTGTGACATTTCCCCCAGCCCCAGTGCCACCCCAGCACTCACTCTTATGCACCACGGTGAGGAAGATGGTGGCGTTGTGCTGGGCATTCTTCTCCTTGGGGTTCTTGACATGGCAGGTGTACTTGCCGGCGTCGCTGAACTCCACACCGTTGAGGACGATGGAGATGTTGTTGTCCTTCTTGGTGGTGGAGCCGACGAACTCCACTCTCGGGTTGCGCGAGATGAGCGTGGGCTCCGTGGCCTTGTTCTTTATCTTGCCGTGGTAAATCTGCGGAGGAAAGGGGCAGGGTGTGGGGTCAGCTGGATATTCCTGCGTGAGGGAAAGACTCATGGTCTCCTGATGGAGCCCAAAGTCAGCTCTGCACATGCAGAAATCCATGCCAAATGTCCCATTACACCCCATTAAAATGGGAATGGCCCTGGAGAGGAACCTGATGCACATCCTGCTGAGAAGCAGCAGATCTGGCCTGTGCTGAAATGATCCAACACATCATGCAAAAAGGGAGATCCCCAGAGAGAGAGAGAGAGAGAGAGAGAGAGAGAGCTCCTTTGCTGGTCAGGACTGCTCAAACCAGCCCTCCTGCTGAGGAATTGAAGAGCCAAATATTCCCAGCAGGAAGCAAATCTATACAGAACCTTTCATATTTCAGAGCAAGCCAAGGAGGAGAAAATGAACCATATTTTGCCCTAAGTGCAGATTTGCACCTGAACAGCGAATTTATGAAAACAAATGAGCCCATGGGCAGCAGCAAATCCGGAACAGCTTTGTGCCAAAAGCACAGACGTGCTCRGGTATTTGAGTCACCCCGTTTGCACAGCCTCGTCCCCCCCAGAGCTGGTGACACTCGGAGAGAAGGGCACCCTGCACGAGGCGAATGGGAACTGTGTGCACCAGGGAAGCACGGAAGGACCTGCCAGGAAAGCAGAGCCCAGGGTGCCACCCACCATCTCTGTCGAGTTGAAATACCATGTGAAGACCAGGTCCTGGAAGCCTATGCAGGTGGTGAAGGTGCAGGGCAGRAGGACATTGGAGTTATTCAGAGCCATCACCGTGTTGGTTTTCCCCACCGACACCTCCAAGGCGATGGCGATGGCGCAGATGTGCAAACCTGGCAGGGACAGGGCAGGAGACAGTGAGGCCACGGGTTTGTCACCCCTCGTCCCCTTTGGCACGCCAGGCTGCCATGGCAGGAGCAAAGGCGCCTGTCCCCAGCCCCAGAGCAGCTCGGTGACAAAGGGGACCTGCTCCTGCAGGAGCTGGGGCTGGGTCACCCCCAGAGACAGCGCGGGTTCAAAGAGAACCAGAATATCCCCGCGAATAAAGCGTGCAAATGAGAGCCCTGATTTGCATGTTATCCACAGGCCTCCAGCTGGACCTTAGAGGAGGGAGAAGAAAGCCAAGGCAAAGCAGAGCTCTGTTCTTCAGGCGGGAGCTGGAGCAGTAATTAGCGTGGCTGTSCTGGCCGCCTGCCACCCGCGGCCCTCCCGCAGCCCTGCCCGGCCCTCCGGAGCAGCCCGGGAGCACAGAGCCCCGGCTCCCTCTGGAGCTGCCAGATGACCTTCAAACTGCAGGATGCAGCTCTCCTGCGAGCAGGGAGAGGAGCAGGTAGGGATAACCGCAGCTCAGTGTTTCTGGGGTGCAGGGGCTGGCATTGCGCTGGGCTGGGCCACCGCTGTGCTCACAGATCCTTTCTGGAGGCACAGGGATGTTTGGTCCCGGCCAGRGGAGCAGCCCCGCTCCCCATCCCCGTCCCACCACGGCCCCGTCCCGTTTGTGTGATGTGGCATGGCTAAGATGTGACACGGCCCAGCAAAGCACAGTCCTCCCCTTTCCCAGACCCAGCCACCCCTGCAGAGCTTTCCCCGGGCACAWGAGACGGGGGACACAGCTTTTTCCAGGGCCACAAGGCGATCCCCAGCTCCCCAACACCTTAACTCGGACACGCTGCCCTCAGCCTGGGATTCGCCTCTCTCTGCAGCCGCCTCAGCTGCTGATTTATTCTCCCACACAAGCCGGTGTTAACAACTCCCCAGGCACGTCGCAGCCGGAGCCAAGCCCGAGAGCCCTGCATCCTGGGCTCCGGGCCCTGCTGCAGTGCTGCATTGCAAGCACTGCAGGCGAGGAGTTATTTAACTTTACACAGAAGCACTCGTCGCTTTGCTCGAGAGGCCGGAGCTAACGTCAGGGAGTGGTTCCCRGCAGATGGAATCTCCTGCAGCTGTCAGGCTCCGAGAGCAGCCCTGGGGATGCTACAGAGGGGACTTTCACAGGCAGGAGTGTCCCAGGGGACAGGAGTTGTCCCCCTGGAGCAGGAGTTGGCAGAGGCATGCCCGGCTCTGCAGGTACGCCTGAGCCTGCAGGGCGCTGCAAGCGGACACTCACACACAGGAAAGATGATTCCTCGCAGCCTGTAACACTTTAAATCCTGYCTGCCACCCTTAGAAGGTAATCGGCATTGAATGTGTGGGGTAAACCGAGGCTGACCTTGTTCCTGCCATCCTGCGCTCCCAGGAAGGCAAAATTGATACTGTACCACTAAATAAAGCATCGAGGAAAACACGCTGGGGGAGCGCAGGCTGAACCTGCCGCTCACCAGCTCTCGGCTCTGCTTTTCCATACACGCCCAAAGCTGCTGCACTTTGCACCAGCAGACCCTCAACCTTCAGGGTCTGGGGGCTCCAGGCTCCCTCCCCTGCCTGCAGGGACCAGCATTTCCCAAGAGACAGCCCAGGGAAGCAGGGAGCAGCCGCTCCTGCTGCTGTCAGAACCTTGGCTGCCTGCGCTTTGCCTCGGAGGGGCCGAGCCCCCCACAATGAAGGGGCTCGCTGAGCATTTTCTTCAACCAGGACCGCCATCTGTGGCAAAACTGCTCTAAGAAAACTTTCACTGCCCATAAAAGTCAGCGTGACATCCTGGCACAGGCAGCGAGCCATGCCTGGCAGGCTGGCCGGGCTCGTCTCCAGCGGGGTTCAAAGGGAGGAGCTCCTCGGGCAGCCCGGAGCCAGGTGCGATGTACTCTGGACAGGACACACGGCCCTCACCGCTGCCCTCACCCTGGWGCAGCCGGGAGCCCGCTGCCACTCCCTGCGGAGCACGGCATCCCAAAACCTACAGAGCCAGAGAGACCCGCCCTGCACTCCCCTGTCCCCGGCCCTCTCCAGCTCCCAGCCCACCCGAGCTGAGGGACCGGGSTCCCACCTCCACACCCTGCAGCCCAGACCCCCGAGTGGCCTCGAGCATCTCCGAGTGTCTCCTGCCACCCCACTGCCAGCCCAGGCGCTGGCACCCAAATCTTGCAGGGGGTCAGGTACTTACATGCTTTTTTTTTGTGTCTCCAGCACCCTCAAACTCAAGATCTATGCCCTCTACAACACCTCCCGCGGGAGTTCCCCAGCAGCAAGCGCTGCACAGCCATCCCTCGGTGCCAGGCTGACACGAGGGTGACCCACGGGAGCGGGAGTGCGGCGGGTGCGTGAGGYTGATGCAGGTGGCTGGAGCCTGCCCCGGGTGTGCAGCGGGGAGGGAACGGCTGCCAACCCCTCCCTGAGCCCTGTGGAGGGATCTCGGGCACCCCTGGGCACAGGGCTGRGCRTCATGCTCCAAGCAGCGGCCCTGCAGCGCGGGTCGGTCCCCGCGCCGGGGACAAGCACATGCGAATGGTCGTTGTACCAAATGAACTGTAAGACAATGACCTGTCGGCGGGCGTGCTGGCGCTGAAGCAGTGCATGGCCTCCCCGCGGCCATCCCCSGGTCCCGGGCAGGCAGGCAGCGCGGTCCCCGCTCGCCGGGCAGCGCAGGAGCGGGGCAAAGCGGGGTGCAGCCGCAGTGCTCGCAGGAGAAGCGCTGGCGACGGGAGCGCCGGTGCGGGCAGGGCAGGGGCTGGAGCCGGGACTTCGGAGCTGGGGCTCGGCTGCGAAGTCACCTTGGCCAAGTGACTTATCCCCGGCGCTCCGGACCGTCCGTCTGCAGAGCGGAGAGCGGCGTTAGCGCCCGCGGGCGGCATCCCCGGGCGCGGCGGGCGGGGTGCAGGGGCTGGGCGCGGAGCGGGGTCCCCCCGCCTCGGGCTGCCGCGGGTCCGCGGGGCGGGATCCCCGCCGGGGAGCCGGGGTGGGGGCACGCAGGACGCGGGCGGTACCCGGAGGGGTCCCCGCAGCCCCCCGCGCCCCTTACCCAGGAGCGCGGCCAGCAGGCGCGGCGCGGCGCGGCGGCGAGCGGCGGGCGAGCCCGGGGCCATGGCTGCGGCGCGGGGCGGTGCGGGGCGGTGCGGAGCGGAGCGGAGCGGTCCCTGCTGCCCGCAGCGCCCGGCTCTGGCCGCCCCCGCGGAGGGCGAGCGGCGCCGGGCGGGGCCGCGCCGGGCGGGGCTGCGCTGAGCCCTCCTCCGCGCTCCTCCGCATCCCCCCGCGCATTCCTCCGCGCTTCCCCGCCCCGAGCATCCCCCCGCGCTCCCCCGCCCCGCGCATCTGCCCGCCCGGCGGATCGGGGAGCGCTCCCCGCACCGGGGCAGCGCCGGTCCCCCTGTGCTCGGCACTGATGAAGCCGCACCCCGAATACGGGGTGCAGTTTTGGGCCCCTCGAAAGAAGAACATTGAGATGCTGGAGCGTGTCCCGAGAAGGGGCTGGAGCACCATCGAATGAGGACCGGCCGAGGGAGCTGGGGGGTTTTAAACAGGAGGAAAGGAGGCTCAGAGGGGACCTTCTCGCTCCCGTCAACTCCCTGACAGGAGGGTGGAGCCAGGTGGGGGTCGGGCTTTTCTCCCAGGTAACAAATGACAGGACAAAAGGAAAAGGCCCCAGGCTGTGCCAGGTTGGATATTAGGGAAGATTTCTTCAATGAAAATGTTGTCCAGCCCTAGCACAGGCTGCCCAGGGCAGTGGTGGAGCCATCAGCCCTGGAAGAGTTCAAAAACCATATGGATGTGGCACTTGGGGACATGGTTTAGTGGTGGCCGTGGCAGTGCTGGAAACACTGGGCTGGCATTTTCCTGGGCCACCTTTGAAGGGGCCCAAGAGACACGAAGGCTTGTGACTTCCCAGGACAACAAACCAGGACAAGGCTGGAGTTCAGCTCTGATTTGGGACATCTCTGCAGTGTGACACCATCTGTCCCTGCCCTCCATCCCCAAAGGAAACATCAGACACAGGAGGGGACACAGCAGACACAGAGCCAGACCTCGCTGGCTGCAGAGGGACCTGCCTGGTGCCAAAGGGAGCACTCCGAGAACTAATTTTTCTCACTGCGAGCTTTTTCCAGGATAACCGTCTGCACAAAAGTTCACGTCTCAGCAACCTTTTCCTCACCGTGGCATCCATTAGACCTGCCCCGGCCCCACCTGATCGCAAAGGCGGCGGCGGGGGCGCTCCTAATGGAAGCCCGAGGGCGTGCTGTGGGCAGGCAGAGCTTTACCTCKGTGCCCGGGTGCATTAGGCAGCGGYTCCTGAGCAGAGCGGTGTTTGCGGGAGGTGACGCATCCCAAAGAACCATGG